GCCGTTCCCACATGGAGCGGACAAAGCACAAGCACAGGGATGGTCACAGCAAAGTTCCCATCTCAGCAACCTGAGGATCACCTCGTCAACAGCAACTGGAGTGCTGGACAGCTATGTTTCCAGCATGAATATGGAAGGGAAAGGCAATTTATGGCTGCAGCTCAAGCCCAAAGATGAAACGCAAAAGCGAATCAAAATGTCTGTGGTAACTGTGTAATGAGCGAGGCTGATAATCAAAGGTTGGGGTGTAGCATTTCTGCTGCATTTAAACAGCACAGAAGTAATCTGCAATCCGCCAGGACAAATGCAAGCAGCAACTTCAAAGAGTAATGGCATTTTTATTATTTTTTTTTCTTCTCCCTGACTGGAATCTCTACACGCCTGTGTACTCTTTGTAGTATTTTTTTCTATCATAACAATTTATTTTTTTGTTTGCTTTTAAAAGGGAGAAATAAAAAACAGCTTTTGCTTTAATATTCACCGTGATGAACTTAAAAGTGGCTTACAGAAGCAGTCTGGCATTTTCTGTTTGCACCAGCCAGTTGCTAGTGATTGATCTCAGAAGCCAGCCTTCATTTTCTAAGCAAAATAAGCCACAGTTGGCAAAACCTGATTAAAGTCAGTGAAGTTTTATTTGATGTGGCTGTTGCCACTCATTTCAGTGTAATGTCTCTCTTTTCAACTACAGAGGACCTGCAGAACACAGAACAACAAGTAGGCACCAGTTTATAATCCGCTCTTCTAAGTGTTCCTAATAGGCCATCAAAACAACATGCAATGGGTACATCAGCATGTAGAATAAACTCCTAATACAGCTGTTGCAGAGTTTGTGCTGTCATCCTTCCCTAGACTACCACAGGAGAAGCCGCTAGCTGGACCAATGCTACGGTTACATTCATCATGTAAAAATTGCTGCCAGTAATCATGAAAGAAATATTTAAAAATTTGAGGGGTCTTGTCTTTGCTTCCTGATTTTTGAGCCTTTTTAGGCATAGTGGAGCCATTGTGCCTTCTCCTCCTCAGAGTATGAAGCCCAAAAATATCTGTGTTCCTAACCCACACAAGACATGCCAGCAGTCGCCATTCTGCTCACTGGGAAGGGCTGACACTGCTCCATATTACTTCTCAACAGACAGAAGTGTTCCTTTTCCTCTCATTTCTGAGGAAGGGGAGACAATGAGAGAAGGAAGAGTAGGTGAAATTACATTTGAAGAGGTGCAAATATAAAACTGACAGGCTTGGAGACAACGCGTCGCATTTGAATGGCTATTTGCAGAGCAGCTCCTCTGCGAGATAACTAATGGCATGTGAAAAGGTCCTACACACAGAAAACAGTCTGTCATGTTAAAATAAAGAGCTCTGAAGCTGTGAAGTCTGGCATAGCTGTAAAAATAACTTCTGCTTGGGAGGGCAGGCTGGGAACCCTGCAGCTCCTGATTCTTTACAAAGACAATGTCCAGTGCCACAGCAAGGAACACGGAGGCTACTGTGGCTCCTACAAATCCCCACCAAAACGTCAATTTAAATTACTATTGAAGATTAAACGCTAGCATGAGCCTACACTCCCTTGCAACTGCATTAATTATTAAGGCAACATGCAGAGCTCTGTAATTGGCTCCTGTCTGTTAGCACAGAGCTGAGTTTATAGGTTAGTGTAGTGGCAGAAAGATGATGATGCTGATTACATACAATTTCTGGGTTTGCTGGTGTTTGGGAGAGGTGTCTTCTAAAATTGGAAGAAATGTTAGGGAAAATCAGGGTGGCCTTCCCATAGCAGAGGCCAGGACGGAGGAGGGGGCAGCCTAAATGGAGGGAAGGCAAGTGCTGAAACCTCCCCCTCTCCCCCCTATTAACCACAGCCTGAAATTAATCCATGACACTGCCAGAAAGTGAAGAAAAGGCAACCTCCCTGTCCCCACCAAACAAAAAAATACCCTTTCAACTTCCTGGCAAAAAAAAACCCCACCCAACCCTGCTTCTCCTTTGCAGAAACACCAGCCACTCTGGTAGGTTTTATGCAACTATGACATTGTTTTGCTTTCATTTAGTTTGTGTCATTGGCAAGTCCTGTCCCTTCCACCAGCCAGAAACTAGACAACTCCTGCAAGGGACCCTAGCTCTTATTCTTTAATTAGTACACTCACACAGTGAGTTATAAACAACTTAATAAAATGGTCCCACCACACAATTGAAGAGCAACTGTAAGTATGGGTCTGAAAATGAAGTCCACAGGTTTTCCAGCAGATGTGCTGCAGCCAGCTGCATGTCCTCAGTCTCCAGCAAGTCTCTCTCCAGCATCCTGCTGTCAGCAAAGACCACACTGCCTGCAACATGCACAAAGGATGTATGGAGCACATGCAGACAGCTTGGCTGACCTACAGCAATGTGTTACTCTGTGGTAACCTTTTGTCCACCTTAGAAAAAGCCAAGGTCTCTGCAGTGCTTAAATCCTGGTGAAACCTTTAAAATCACAACCCACGAGATATGTGAGAGGAAAAGGGAGAGATCTGAGGTACCACCAACAGCTCTGCATACCTATCCAGAGGAGAATGGGATGGGAAATTATTCTAAGATATGGGAAGACAAGAGGGGAGTAGACAAGATGCCCCTGTCTGGGAGACAAGAGATGGCCATAAGAAAGAGGTCGTCTTCCTGGAAGAAGGAAAGCAGAAGGTATTGCAGTCATTCTGGCATCATTTAAATATGAAAATTGAAGACTGCAGTGGAGAAATCAACACTGGCCATGTCCTCCCCTGGCCAGGGTCTTGCCAGGGAAGGGGTCACAGCAGCAGACCCCGGGCAGGCCACCCTGTGTCCCCTCAGCAGGAGATATCACCACCACAACAACCTCATTAAATTGTCAATCAAGTTTAATGCATCATAAAGAAGTAAAACTACATTGGCATATTTAAGACAAACACTTTTTTTTTTTTTTCCTATGCACACTATCCACTGGACAGTCCCCTTTTCAAAATAACTACTTTTAACAGTCCAAGACACTTCTTCAGAAATTCTTCACATATTCAACCGTCCACTCTTTTTCCTTTTTTTTTTTTTCAATTGTCTTGAGAAGGAAAGAAAATCATTAAACCTGAAAACATTTACATTGCAAGCCACGTTAGAATGCATAATTGGCATACAATAACCAATGTATAACAATTGTGTTTTACTTAGTTCACTTTGTTCATCAATAAAAGAATATAAAAATCTTGTTCAACTGAGTGTTGTGTATTAAAATAGATTTGTATAGTACTGCACAGTTTCTCCCGGAGTTGTGAAAATGGTTGAAGGGACCATGTGCTGCCTAGTGATGGGCGATGAAAAAAGCCAGTCCCTCATGTTTTGTGTTGTTTTTTGTTTTTTTGTTTTTTTTAATTTAAAAAGGAAAAAAAGGAAAAAAAATAAATAAAAGATTCGGCACCATGGGATATGCTGATGTGAGAGATCAGCCTTGTGTCGTGCTCTGGTGGCTTCTTGCTTTCCTTAAGTATCTGTTGTGCTAATTGACAGAGAACTGATAAACGACAGAGATGATGGCATCTGGGGTACCTGTGTGTGATGTTGAGAAAACTGGGGTGCCCATCACTACCTTCCCGGGCAGGCCACAGGGTGATGGGGGGGAGGGCCTGTGGTTGACTGGGGACGGCCAGGCAGACCCTTGCAGTATCAGGAAGACTAGCTAGTGAAACAAGCAGGTGCACTGGGATTTTCTCAGGCTAACGCTAAATGCTTCCCAAATGTGCTAAAAACCAATAAAATTCTAAAAAGGAATCAAGTTTCCAAAAGAACGCCAACAACTCCTTGAAATTTTCCACAGCCTATCCCTCCCCCCAGAACTCTTGATATTATCCAGTATGAGAAACAACCCCTTGAGGCAGTTGTTTTTTTGTTGTTTTTCTTTTCCTGTACCATTTCAGCAAGCAAAAAAAGAGAAAGAATAATTAAAAAATCACATGACATATTTTTAACAAGAAAAATGCAGTACAAAAATGTAAAGTTATCTTTTTGGCATATTATCTGTACTGGCAAGAAACAAAACCCAGAATATTTACTTGCTTTTCTTCTTTAAAAAAAAAAAAAATAATAAAAGAATCCAAAATTAACAAATGAGAAAGCCCCCAAAATAATATCTTTTAAAAATGAAACCCTTCCTGCCAAAGATAACCACTATTATGGTTTATGCTAAATCTTGCACGAAAACTCCATGAGAAAAATACACCAATAGCAAAATAAGTAAAAAGGACCTGCAAAAAAGTAAGGAGTTTTACAGTCATACTTTTTTAAATACTTCGGAACGCATATACAGAAGCATCGGCATGAAAATACTTCAATATTTTACTAGAAATGCTAACTTCATACAGTTTCTTTATTTAAATATCTGCAATTCTCAACTCTAATAATACTGAAAAAACCCGATCTTTTGTTTCCAAGGCTCTGTGAGTGTCCGTGACGCCGTTCGGGTCAAAATGGCCCCATCTCCAGGTCACCTGAATCAACGGGGCCAACTTTGTTCCTCCGATTAGAATCCAGGTCAAGTCTTAAGTAGTTCAGTTTCTGGTTATCTCACCAATTTCCCTCCCACACATAGCTTTCAGCCCAACTACTCCTCTACTAGCTCACTAACTCTTTGCATTGAAAATTTTCCCCTTAAAGCAGAACTGGCAACCTGTCTGCTCCCCACAGCAGGATATCCCGCTTCCTATCGGCCATACTTCTCATCCTCAGTCATAAATACATTAAGGCCAACATAACAAAAAAAGAACAACCAAACAAATCTCATGAGCACTGAAGGTCTTGGCAAATACAAAACCGCAGCACAACCCGCTCTGTGGGAACCTGCTGCCACAGTGACCTACAAACTGGACCGATTGGTTTGTGAGTTTCTACGTGTATCAAAACTGAGACTGTTCCTTCTCTCCTTTGTTTCAGCATCATCTCTCCTCTGCGCATGTGTGTAAAGTTTTCTTCCCCCCTTCCTTCGCTCTCTCGCGGCCGCTCTGTCAGTTATTACCCTGTGATTGCTGCAAGGCTTTGTGCATGGCAGCGGAGGCAGAGGAGGGTTTGATCCAGGGGACAGTTAGCAGGGAGGAGGTGGTGGTGGTCGTCATGGTAACCTGAATCATCTGCTCGTTTTGTATCAGTCTAATGAGGGTTTTGAGACGTTCCAGTGACGACTGAGTCCCTTTCTGCTGGGTCAACAGGCTGGTTTTTAGCTCTAAGCATTTCTGTCAAATAAAGAGAAGGGGGGAGAGAGGGAAAGACTGTGAGAATACATTCAAATTGGTGTCAAACATCTGTCCAAACATCCTTTTGTGTCTCGAGTGCATGTCCTGCTCAAATGAAATATATTCTCCTTTGGGGATAGCAAAACCACAGCTTAACGAATGGAGTAATCACCGGCGCTGCACACGCTGCAGCAGCTGTCTGAGGTAACGACCTCCATCCCAGCCCAAACGCAGTCAGAGGATGCTTCCAAACCCAGCCTGGAGAGAGCCTGGCAGGAACGCCTTCTGCACTCCAAAGAGATGAGTGGCATGGGATTGTAATAGCTGTATTACTGGAAAGTGACAAAGCCACCAGTGAGGCGTCAACATCCTACCAAACGGCGCTGATAAACACTTGAGGGATAAGCCTCGCCGTGATGCATTTGGTGCGTGACACAAATTGTAAGGAGTTGGCAGTGTGAAGGGAAGTTGATGGGGATGGTGACCTGAAACCTCCTGTTTTCTTTCTGCAAGTGGGCCCAGGGAGGGGTCTGTCAAAACTGGTTGCTTGTCTGCAGATTGCTCCTCTTTGGCTATGGTCTAGGCTACTTGGGGTAGCTGAGCAGTCTGCAGTCCTGGGGAAGGGGTAAGTGCCCACTTGAAAGTCAAGTTGTTCAAAAAGCAACTGTGTGGAGCTGGCCAGAGACTGGTTTAGACAGGTGAAGTCTCAGGTGAAGGATAAATAACGTTCTGTTTTTCCCAATAATACCATTCCATCTGTGGTGTGTATGAGAATTTTCTCTTTAATGTAAATCACAGTGAAGGCAAATATAAGAAATGAAATTGCTCTGTGCTGGAACAACTCTAATACCTTTTCTCCTTTCAAGTGGATATATCTCCAATAAATCCAATCGTCAGCTGATATTACCATTTAAATAAAACAGTGTTGCCCACTGAAAGAATCTGATTCTGCTTAGGTAGAAATCTTAGTGATTTTGACAGCCCTGACATACACCTGATAGCTGCCTGCATCCCCAAATGCTTTTCTTTTTCTGAACACCTCATCCCGCTGCACCCTCCTCCATGCTGAAGATATTCTGTACCCCAGAGTCACTTCTTCATACTTACATGTGTTTCCATTAGTGCTATACATGGTGGCTATACACAATCCCAGGGAATATTCCCCCACTGTGATGTCTTTTAATAAGTTATTGCTTTTCCTTCCACTCTATTTTAAATGTGATAAATATTTTAACATGCCTCGTCTGGGTAACTTATAGTGGTAAAACAACTAGTTACCAGTTGCTTCTACAGCTGCCACTTTGATTTTTTCAGGGTAAGGAAGTTCCAAATATTTATTTAGACTGTTATGCCACACATCCCTTAAGAGTGGGCTTGAGGTGAGGTAGCCCCAGATAACTTCCTTCACCCATGAAGGATAGGAATTATGGCTTTGGACTCAGCCTGAGACTTGGTCCTCTTAGTACAGTATGCATGGGAGACATCTCCAGCCTATGTTTAGCTTTGAAACGAGTTCAAAGAGAAAAGGATTGTGAATCCATTTCCAGTCACAAGGAGGTGAGGCCTCTAGGACAAATAAACATGGTTATTTCTACCTAATCTCAAGAGTTTTGAGCTAAGGGACAAGCAGCTGACACAGGAGGACACGCTTGTGACTAAACTTTTCACCTGGAGAACGGAACTGTGTTAAAGTCACTGGACAGCTGAGAGCTGTGTATGGCACTACAAGGAAGGCAGGCACAGATACGTTGATTGTTTTTTTGTGTGTGTGCAACAGGAATTCAGTCACCCTCAGTTTGCCAAAGCAGCTTGCTTTAATGCATAAAGAAAATCCATGTGTGGATGGACTGCAGAGAAACACACTCACCCTTGAACATCTGTAGTTGGGGAGCATAAATCATTTTCTAGCCACAAAACACCAGATTTTCAAGCATAAATTCTTTATAAGCATCTCTGCAGGAGACTCCGTGTCCCTAGCCAGGTGTCCTACCTTCACTGCATTGTTGAGAAGTCGATCTTTTTCTTCTAACTGCCTATGTTGGCTCTTCAGCTCACTGCTTCTCTTTAATAACTTCCGCTTCTCTTCTTCTTTGACTGCAGAGCAGTAAGATTAAGGATGCAGAAGTTAAGAGAAGGACATATGGATAAAACGTGCACTTGAGAGCAGAAAGCAGAAGCGTGTATTTTGAATTACGAGTTTCAGGTCTCATTAGTCTTTTGTCAGCAGGTACAGCCAAATCTGGAATTCCTGCTTGCATGCATATGTCTATGTCAACAGCTAGAACCCAAGACAACCCAAAAGCTATAGAACACCTCTGAGATGAATTAAAATTAATCCTTGGACCACATGGGGTCCTGGAGATCTCTAAGGAAGAGAAGATTGGTATTTAAGAACAGGTCAGACACCTGGAAGGGCAAAAGTTCTGCACCTCTGGTTGAAAAGCACAATCATAACAGTAACAGACTGCAACAATTAGAAACTGATACTGCTCATTATCTGAGACACTAGTCTCTCATCGTGCTACATACACAGTGTCAAGACTCTGCCTGGCCTGACTGGGTCTCTCTGCCTCCCAGGCTGATATTATATGATTCAGCATTAAAATCCCTTCTCAGCTCTGTGCTCAGGAAGGTGTCACTTTCATGACAGCCTCCTTCACACAGCGAAGTTTCTAAGAGATCAATCTTAGCTTGCTCAGAGAGAAGTTAGCAAAGGAGTAGACCAAGGGGGAAGGGACAAAAGTTACCTGCTGTTTCTTAACACAGCCCCTAACTTAATAGTGCCAAACACCTTGTAGCACCACAACACCACTGTAATATTAGTGCCATGCAGGACCCAAATGGCATCAACCATCACAAGCATAGAATCTCTTGTCAATAGCTGTGTTAACCCCTACCTGTTTTATGAGTAACATAGGAGTGAACAATAGCCAGAGTTCCAGTCCATGGCACATTGTCATCCTTCTTTAACACCTATAAGCCCAGGAAGCAATAAAAAGTTAGAACTCCAAAAAGACAGACATTTATGTTTTTCTTTCTCCAGCATCACAGCTCTACAGGACTAGATCTAGGGTTCTCATCTCAGAATTTGCAAACTGAAAAGTAACATAAGAATAATATGGGTAGCAATTTCCATTGGGGCTTACTCCTTTACACATGACTATAAACTAGCAAATAGTGCTAAAAGGGGCCTACAAATCCTGTTTCTTCTTGTCATGGCCAGAAAACATTCTCCAGCCCCTGACAAGCAGATCTCCACACTGTCAAGGCTCTTGTCTGCTCAGTGTGGGAGAAGTTGCTGGTCCATATGAAAACATGACTGCACAGATGTAATCCTGGCCCACTCCACTCTCTGCAAGTGCATACTAGAACTTTCCCTTAACATTTTCAAAGGAACATAATGGTGATCTCAATGCTAAACACAAAGAACACCAAGGCAAAAAATCAAAGCCTCGACTCTACAATTTCATGACACTGTACAGTTTTAGTCCTTGTTTTCCTGTTCATGCAACGAGCATTATTCACAGCAACTAGACAAACTGGCATTTCTCACGGGACTATGATCAATAGTTATGTGTAATAAACCTGATTTAAAGGAAAAGAAGCATTCAGCTTATAGCTTTCAGATCCACCGGTGAACAGTGTCTCCTTCTGACACTGTCTCCCTCATCTGAAAGGCTTAGGTTACGTATCTGGCAACCCTATGTGCTTGTGGCTTTATTGTGAAGAAGGGAAACAGAGGAAATTAGACATTTTAAAAGGACAAATCTCAGCAGATGTGATTGCAGGGAAGCTAAGGCACCCAGTGTATGTTTTAACTCTAAGACAATTAAAATACCAGAAACAAATATTGCAAAGTACTGCAAGCTGTACTAAAAGCCTCTCCTTATTACTTCACCTCATAAGCTGTGATCATAGATTAGATTCATTTAGTGGTACCCAAATTTGAGGTTTTTCCCATTTTCTTCTCTTGGAGTTCTATGCTCCACGTAGCTTACCTTCTGTTGGCACTTTGGGCAGACCCAAACCCCCTTGGGAGCAGTTTTGAGAGGCGGGTCCAAGCAATTGAGGTGATATGCTCTGGGACATGTACCACAAGGCTGCAAGTTAATGCCACGCTTGCAAGCAGTGCAGTGCTCATCGTGGTGGATCTCACTCTGCAAGAAAAGAAGGATCACTTGAGTAAAATCATTGAAATCCTCTCTCTATACAGCATTCAAAACCACTACTGCAGCAGACAGGTTCATTCACACACAAGATGAAATTGTCAAAAGCATCCTGGCCACTGGAGAAGACAGAAATAATGGTGTATGACAGCAACAAATACAAACAAACAAATGAACCAGAAGCAAGTTGCATAAATTGAAACAAAGAAAAATAAAAACCAACTAATCAAATACAGGAGGGAGTTCACTCATAAAGGCAGCCTGTGACGTAGGAATTATTTCACTGGATTTTGATGTGTCACTCCATCACATGCATCACTATGTGTAACTATTTTGAAGCATAGGTCACAGTCAGTATGTTGATCACTTGTCCTTCAAGTCCAAAGCTGAAGGAAGCAAGCAAGGAAAAGTTTCTGGGGAGAAAGCACAGTTCCATGTTTTACATCCATTGCCTCAAAGAACAAGTAGAAGAACAATATGCTCAAGTACAACCTTTTGCTATGTACCCTCTTTTGTGAACTCCTCCAGAGGTCTCCTCTGTTGCTCTGTTCTCCTTGCTGCTAACTGGTCTCTGTTCATCCTCACTCTGACAACTTTTCTCCAACAAGACTGATTAGTACCTTGTCTGAAGCAATATATAAAATGAACTAAGACTCATCAACAAAGTTACAGTGTCATGTAGTAAATTGCTATGCTAATCTGGTAGCAATGTTAATTACTCCTTGTATAATTAAGTGCATTTTAATAAAGGAGATACTGATTTTTAAACTCTCATGGCTTGTGAATTATTATTTTAAAAAGCCTTAATCTTCCTAGCACTTTTCCAGGAATAAGAATAATAATTTTGCACCTTCGCTTATTCAAAAAGCATATTTTAATTGTTAGGGATATTAATGATAATGTTTCTTCACAGTTTTAGTGAGGCTTATATCTTGAATTCTAACTCAGTCCTGTCAAGAAATCCCTCTCCAACATGCTACTTTTTAGAAATTATGTGCTCAAAAAGTCTTAATTTTAACTTCAATGCAAAGAGATTTAGTTTATACAAACTAGAATGGTTACTAATTTTCTTCGAATTTTAATTAAAACCACAAATCTAGACTAGCAATTTCTCAATCAATCAGTGGATTCTCCAAAGAGATTAAACTCAAGCCTTGCACACGGAAGTCCAAGAGTTCAAATCCTTGAAATTCTAACTTAGAGGCTCAAAGATGTAGTTAAGTGGGAAATGTTTCCAACGAGCAGTAGGAAATGCAAAGAACATACTGCAATTTTGTACCTTGACAGAGACAGATGCAAGCACTGAATTACACAGTGATGAGAAAGACACTGATAACACACAAATTTTTCTACACATACCTTCCAGAATAGATCCTCATTTGCTAGCATATGGAAGAAGGGCAGAGAACAGATTAGTGGGAAATACGTCGCTGCAGTAAATGCTAGTTCTCAGCTATGGGAGTAATTTTAGTCAAGCTGGGACACAGGAGATGAGGACATTGCCAACATTAATGTGGGCAGGAAAGAATAAAACTGCAAGTAGTGAAATTAACATTTGAGATGTAAAAATTTACATTGCAGGAATCTTGTGTCTGAAGATCTGATGCTATAGAAGTCATAGTATAGGAAGTACAGGTTCTATTTCAAATTTTCAAAAACTTTCATGCAGACCTCCTCTCTGCATGTCTCTAGTCCAAAAATCTTTCTTAAGGACTTTACCCTCTTGGGTGATGAACAGTCTGGCTATGAACCAGCAAGGAACCAGCAAGGTACTTAAGCAAGTGCTTAACTTGGACTATGGAAGTGGTGCCACTGACTTACTGTTAAACACATGTTAAAATGTTCAGCTGATTCATGGCCCAAATGCTCTGCTACTTGTGTGACTGAACTTTATGTTATCATCAACCCTTTATCATCAAACTACTCCCACCAAACTGCCAAGATTTTCTGACCTGCTGATGAACCAAGTCTGCTATGACTGCATTCACAGCCTGACAAGAACAAGAACCACCAGAGCTCACCTGAAAGCAGGCCAAGCCTTTGGTAAAAATATTTGTGAAATTCATCACACTTTGGTTCAAAAATAAAAAGGCAGAAAATTTTAACAGCTTTATGGAAACTTCACAGGGAGTTTCAATTTTTGCTGCCAATTTCTAAGAGGCTGGTGCCTGCTGATGAGAGGCCTTTCTTCAGGTTAAAGGCAACCAAGCAGATATTTCTCCACTTTGGTCCTTCTTCAGCTCCCTCTCTGATCACAAATGGGAATAAAGCTGCCACAGTGATCTCATATACAGACCAATCTGAGAGTTGCTTCCTGCT